CCTTTTTTTTTTTTTTTAAGAATTATTTAATTTTATTTATTCATTTATTTTAATTTGTTTATATTCTTCATGAAATAATAAAGGTCAGTTGCACTTGCTATGGAACTGCTCTGAGGTCATTTGAGGAAACTCTGGTACTACTCAAGGTCACCCAAGCTAATGAGGACATGATGGTTTGAAAAGGAGTCTTTTGTTTCCCTTATGAGAGAGAGGAGGAGAAAGAAGGAAAAGGAGAGACAGAGATAGGTATTTTTGACAGGGTCTTGCTGTACAGTTCTCCTGCCCCAGCTCTCCCTGCGCCAGTTAACTAGGGTTACATGGCTGCCCCACAGTGATCAGGAAATGTGTGTGGCCACAGCCCTGTCATTTTGGTGGGAACTCTCGGAACACAGTCTGGCACAGTCTGTTTTTTGAACAAAGAGTGTGCTGGTCTGTGTGTGTGAGTTTGCTGTTCTGTGTGTGGGCACGCGTGTGCATGTGTGCTCTTTCCTGGGCATTTCCCCCCAGGCTGTCTCAGGATGGATTCCAAAGGTTCTTGCCCTGGCCCCGCTCGATCAGCAGGTGTTGCTGTCTTTGGATGTAGGGCAGGACAACCTTTTCCTTCTCTCTCAAGATTGCTCTGAGGGGATTGTCGGATTGGCTGTGGGTTTCTTTATAATTATAGCCTCCTTTTAGCTAACCCAGTATATTAAACTGTAGACTTATTAACATGGTTAGGGTTGAATATTTTCTTTTCAGAATAGTTCTCTTTTGAGTTCTTGAAATAGCTAGTTCTCCAGTTTCATTAAAATAGAATTTGGTTCCCAGAATTCACTCTGTAGGAACACAGGTCCTCATTAAGGTCCAGCACACCCATAATCACTCTCCTGGTTTCTCCATGTTAGAGACAGAGCCTCTTCAATGGAGATTAAAGCAGCGTTTCATATGAAATGAGGAACAAATGGGAGAAATGCATTTTTTTCCTGTACTATTTTTTCTCATGTCTAACAGTCTACCAAGAGCTGAGTTCTTGAATTAGGGCTGCCTTTCCTGTGTTCTGAAAGGCTGTGCCCACATGGAGGTGCCTGTGTGTGGGCGACACCCTTGGAGATAGAGTGTAGATAGAGCGTTACTGACTGTGCTGCCCCCAAGACCAGCCCTGTTCCCTGTATGGCCCTATTGAACGAGATTGGTGACAGCAAAGCCTTCCTTTAAGTAGTCGGTATGGTTCTAAAGAGCTGAGAGGCATTCTTTATGTTATCTCAATATAGAGCTTTAGTTGGCAGTGAAAGGAAGGGAAAGCAAAAATCTGATAGGATTTAAGAATTCCATCACACTCTTTTTAAGAAGAATGATTTAATTTTTAATTTATTCATTCATTTATTTTAATTTGATGAGAAAGAGAGAGAAGAAGAGAAAGTGAGAAAGGAAGCCACCAGGTCTGGGACTCAAACTGTGGTCAGCCATGTGGGAGTGTCCAGCACCCCAACCACCACGCCACCTGCTGACCCCCATCACACTTTTTAGTCTTCTCTTTTATGGGTATTTGATGGTCTGACTACAATCTTAAGTTGGCCTGTTGTAAAACATTTTGAGTAGGGAGCTCTATCAGTGTGTCTCATGTTCTAACTGTACGTGTAGTTGTGGAATGTCTAATAGATGTTTGTTTCCATCTCTCAGGAGCTTGGGGCTGAGGTGGTTTTGAAGACTTGTTTTCTGGGGTTGTGTAGGAGGGTTATTCCTGAAACGCTTACCTCTTAAGGGATCGTCATTGTACCGCCACACAGTTTCTTCTCCAGAATGATAAGCATTCAGATTACCTAGAGGTACCTGTTAATTAAAAATTGTTCTCGTGGGACGAGCAGATGGCGTAATGATTATGTTGCTGAACTCCCATGTCATTGACCATGGTTCAAGTCTCGGACCCAGAGGCTTAAACCTCAAACCAGGCGCATGTGCGTGCATGCCCAAGATCCCAAGAGGAGAGTGGAGGAGAAGCAATTCAGTGTGCCCCCCCCCGCCAAGAGTGATTTCTCACTTTCTGTCTCTCTGTCTCTCTGGCAAGTGCATGCACCCTATAGCAAAAATCTCTTTTAATAAATTCTCTCCAGACCACTTCATAATCAACCAGGCACAGTGCAAGGAAAATGCCTTTATCTCAGGCGGTCTAGGAAGAAGCGGAGGGGTTCTGCTGATTATGAACATTGGCTTCCAAACACAGAGGTCTGATGAAGTATATCCCAAAGTTGAGAATTAGGTTTCATTATCGAACATTGAGATCTTGGTATCTAATTGATTTAGTACTTCCTTTCTTAAAATATGCTCAGTGAGCAAGCTATGGAATAGTCATTAAAAGAATTTAAATTTTATTACTAAACTGTTTCACAGCTCTTCTTTGCTTTGGTTGCCTTGAGAAGTTAAGTAAAGTACGTGACGCATCTGGACACACATACTTTAATTCTTGGTATTTTGATCTGTGTATGGTCCTAATCCCAAGTTGTAGTTTTCCAAAACTTGAGACACAGTGTACTTTATTTCGTTGCTGTTTCTGTTTGGGAAAAGATAGAAGTTCTCACTCAAATGGTGTCTAAACCTTAATAAGAGATTTCAGTTCTGGAGTATTTTTTGTGTTGAGTAATTTAGAGACTTGTGCTTCATTTTTATCTTGAGAGATGGGAGGAAATTGAGGATGACCTGATTGTTGATGTGGTTGTTTATAGCAGATTATCTTATAAAAGATTATTACCTTGTTTTGTCTCCGCATTTTATTATTAAAAAATTGAAATGTAGAGAGAATTGGTCAGTGAATTTGCAAACTAACTTTTTATTATATTTACTTTTTCACAGAGTTACCCATCTAGCTATCTTTCTTTTTTCCTTAAATTTGCCAGAGGGTGTGTGTGCTTGCCAGAGAGACAGAGAGAGAGAAAGTGAGACAGCGCCCCCTACTCCCCATGGGACATGGTTATGCCACAATCCGTTCTCTTTTATTTATCCCTTTCAGGATTGTGGGCATGCATGCACATGCACTCAGCATGTTTTTCAAACCACTGGATCCGGGGCTTGAACTATGTGGTCGGTCATGTGGGGTCCAGCCACAATGGGATGGCACCCATCTAGCCTTCTTTTTACCTTTTTTTCCCCCTCTCAGGAAGACATTATTTTTACAGCTAATAGTAAAATTATGGGGATGTGGGGCAGAGACACACACGCAGTCTTCATATACAGTAGACATGGTAAAGCAGGTTGGCAGATGAGAGCGTGGATGTGATGAATGAATGATCTGGGTAGGACTTGCTTCAGCTCTGAAATACAACGACACATTTCCCAGCCAGACCCCTGCCTTTAGGGGTTTACAGTCGTGTCAGGAGGTAAGGCCAAGGAAGGCAAGCTGCTTTGTCAGGGAGCCTGTAGGGAGCCCTCAGTAGATTGATAGTGTGGTCAGCATGGGTACCGGAGTTCAGAAGAGGGAATATGATTCCAGAAGCCTGGGGCAGTTGGCAAAGGCTTCTTCGAAGAAATGGAACTGGCACTGGGCTGAGAGGTAGGGAAGAGTCTGAAAGCAGACATGGTTGTGGGGACATTCTGAGCCATGGGGAACCTGAGGCTCTCCTCATGCTTGGGAGGAGTGACAGTGGGTAAAGAGCCAGTTGCCAGGGGAAAGTCCTTCATTCACGCAGCTGGGGAGTGAACTGTCCTTGTGGTGTTCCAAGGCTGTGTTCTACCTGCTCCAGATAGGACCCATTCCTTACACATGTTCTCCAGGCATCTGGGTCCTCTTTCATTTCCTTCTGGTCTCTGCTCAGTTAGAACTTCCCTGATCTCCCTCATGAAATAGCAGCTCCTCCTGGAACACGCCATCCCCTAGGAAGAAACTGCAAAACCTAGACTAGCGCCTGCGGTTACCTATACATGTATGAGTATAGCTAGACGACAGATACCGAAAGTTGGTACCCAGGAACAGTTGATGCAGGACGGGATGAACAATGGGGATTCTGAGGTGTGTCGTTTTTGCTGCTGTTATCACTTTTAAGATAGTTCCTGTCAAAGAAGCCAAGGGAAGCTTGAGTTGGGCATGGTTGCCAGAACACATCTCTGGGCCAGTGCCTTCATAGGAAAGGTTGAGATTTGGGTATGGTTAGCTTGCAGTGCTGAGAAAAGCTCCAGATAATTCATCTTCAGTAGTAGTTTTCTTTGAAAGATTTGTGCTCCTAAGTGAAGCCCTTGACGATTCTGATGCCTTTTGTCCTCTTGCCAGGACCTTTGCGGACCATGAGTCGGTAATGCCCACTGAGGACCTCTGGGAGCCATGTCAGACGAATCCGCCTCAGGGAGCGATCCAGACCTGGACCCGGACGTGGAGCTGGAGGATGCGGAAGAGGAGGAGGAGGAGGAGGAGGTGGCAGCAGAGGAGCATGACAGGGATGACGAGGAAGACCTGCTGGATGGTGAGTGACTCTAGTGTCTGGCAGAGATTCCCTGATCTTTTCAAGGTTTTGCTGGGAGAACGTGGTGTTTCGGGTTGTTTCTGTAGGTCATCCACGGTGAGAAGACGTAGACTAAGAGCTCACCAGCAGTGAACTCATGCTCATTTCCAGGAAGTGGGTTTTCTTCCACGTGGCCTTGTGGTTGACAAAGCCTTTGGCACTTAGCTTATCTTTGACAGGTGCAGGTGTAAGTCGTGGGGCGGGAGTGCAGCCGTACTCAGGAAGGAGTTAGCAGCCGAGTCTCTGTGGTGAGACTGTGTGGCCTTGGGCCATGGACCCTTCAGGAAAGCTCAGAGGTGATAATGGGTGGTCTATGAGTTTTCTGAAAATATCTCACAATTCTGCTTGTGTGTAGGTGCCGGAATTGTCTGGGGAGGGTCTCAGACAGGCTCATAACTCCAGAAATCTTACTGAATCTTCTGCAGTCTGCTCTTCTCCTGGCCGCTTGTGGGGATTATCAACTGCTCTGAGGGAGGGGACTGCATCTCTACAGCTGGTGGTCCCCTCTAGCCTCTTCCTATTTGGCTTTTTCAGCTCACCCCTTTCTTTACTCCCAAATTTTTGAAGTGGCATTGGATTTTTTTTTTCCATCTTCAGTCTAATATTAGGTCATCTGGCCAGCCATGTGGCTTCTCAGATAGTCTACCCGTTTGTGACAGAAGAGTTAGCTGTAAGCTTCTACTGCCAGAGTGATAGAGTTTCTGTCAGTTCATAATGGACCACCCTTGTGGAACTGAGCATCGCATCAGGTCTTCGTTACTTGAATCTGATGGATTCTCCAGATTCCAGGAGGATGGGCATCAATCTTCTCTCTCTGATGTTACCATCTCCAGTTCTCATTTATTCTAAGTGCTGCTACATGGTCAAGTGTCAGGGTTTTTTTGTTTGTTTGTTTTGAGAGGTTTTTATATAGGGCGTGTGCGCTTGCCAGAAAGACAGAGACAGACAGACAGAAAGCGAGAAATCACCCTCTAGGGGGGATGGCCACGCTGCAATCCCTCCTCCTCCATTCTCCTCTCAGGATCTTGGGCACACACGCACATGCTCCCAGCATGAGTTAAAGACACCGGGTCTGGGATTCAAACTGCAGTCGACTACATGGGAGTCCAGTAACATAACCATTATGCCATCTGCTGGTCCCAAGTATCAGTTTTCTCTCCTTTAAACTGTCCAGAAATCTCTGTCCCTTATTTCTGATAGGGAAATAAGCATTTCACTTGTTGTACCCTGACGGCAGCACTTGCTGTCCACCTCCCCAGCTGGTTCTGTATGTGTTTCTATAAGGTAGACCTAGCAGAAGTAATGGGAGGAAGTGATGATGCAGGGTACGCCCTCAGACTGTCTTGCTTGGCTCTCTTTCCTAAGACGGCATTAAAGGTCCCTGGGCATCAGCACTGCTTTTTGCTTTTTACCACTTGGCTTCTCAGAATTTTATTTCCAAACACCTCTAGAATCCTGCCAGGCTTGGACTGGATTTTAGATGCTGCTGGTTAGTGTAATTTGTGTGTACACACTGTCTTCCCTCTTGGCTTCTTGGAATTCTCTTCTCCTTGTCAGATTGTTAATTATTCAAATTATATGATATGCTTCTGAAGACTTGACTGTTATTTATTTAGAAGTGGCAAGAATTTAACTGTGATTTGTCTCAGAATAGTACAGCTATGCAATTGGAGTTTTTAAAAAAGAATATTTACTCAATGTTCAGATTAAATAACTTCTTAAAATTTTGTAGTGATTTATTTGTATTATTATGAAGTTCAGAGTCATTAAAAAAAAGTTACATTAAATACTGTCTTCTCTAACTTCTTGGAATTTGATGCAGAGACCACTTCTATTTTTATTTATGTATTTGTTTTTAGAGATTTTTGCCTTTGGGTGTGTGGGCCCACCAGAGAGACAGAGATAGTGAGAGGGAAAGTGAGAAATCATCCCCTGCCCCCCGGATGGCCCTGCTGCAGTTCCTTCTCCATTCTCCTCCTGGGATCTTGGGCACACATGTACTTGTGCCCAGAATGAGTTCCAAGTCCAGGACTCAAACTGCAGCTGACCACGTGGAAATCCAGCGACATAACTGCTGTGCCATCTGCTGGCCCCCCATTTTTATATTTCACTACCATGTTAGAGCTATATAACCGCTGCCCCGCCTTACTCAGAAGTAAAAGTGATACGCTGTCACTTGTGGCTCTGCTACCATTTCACTTTTATAGCTTTTCTGTCTCTTTCATCTTGAACATTGCAATTTGACAAACCATCCAAGATCCACCTGTTTCTTTAGTCTTGCCCTTGCTGCCCTTCCGCAGTACTGATGGGCAGGGCAGCCAGTTACTCTAAATTTAGGACCAGCGATGAATAATCTGGCCCTAGCTAGTATAGTGTGATGTGGCCCTTTTGTTTTCTTAGAACAGTGATTCTCAACCCGGGATGATTTTCCCTCCCAGGGGACAGGTTACAATGTGTGAAAGTATTTTTGGTTGTCACGACTTCTGGCTGGGGAGAAGTAGATGGTGGCCTCTTGTGGGTAGAAACCAGGGATGCTGCTAAACATCCTACAATGCCTGAGACCACCTCCACTCCCACCCCAACAGTCATCTGGTGCAAATACCAGTAGATTTGAGAGTTGAGAATTTTTTTTTCTTAGAGTTTGCCACAGGGTTTGTTTGTATCCTTAGTGGAGAGAGACAGGGAGAGAAAGTGAGAAAACATTCCCCAATGGCGAATGGTCACACTGCAGTCCCTTATCCATTTCTTCCTCCTTTTTGGGATTTTGGGCTAAGCACCCATGCCTGGCATGTTTCTCACACTGCTGGGTCCAGGACTCAATCCTCACAGAAGACCATGCGGAATCTACCTGCCTTAACCAGGGGGCTGATCCTGAGAGTTCTTTCCAGAAGGAAACTTATTTTAGCCTTTTTTATCTGAAGTTTTATCTATATTGGGTAACAGTACCTTTTTTAAAAGATTTATTTTATTTCGAATTTTATTGATAATCATTATTCTTTAATTTTGACCAGAAAGGGAAAGTGGGAAAGCAAGCTGCCAGATCCGGATCTTGAACCATGAGTCGGCCATGTGGGAGTCCAGCACCTCAGTCACTACACTGTCTGCCAGTCCCACAACTGTCTTTTTTCAATCCCCTCTATTATGTTTGTTTTCTTTATCATTTCTACTTCATAATTTTCTTCCTTCTCTTTTTTATTTTACCTTTCTTTCAAACTTTATAAAGATATGTGTAACATTGTCAGACTTTTTTCCTAATGTAAGTAAGCTTTCATGAAAGCTGTACATTTTCCTCTGTGTACTGTTTTAGCTTTATCCTCCAACAAGCATTTCAGTGCTCTTAGTTTTTGTTTTTGTTTTTGTTTTGTGGAGAGGTTTTTGCTGTTGGATGCATGCGCTCGCCAGAGAGACAGACAGAGACAGACAGAAAGTGAGAAGTCACCCCTCAGGGGAGATGGCCACGCTACAATCCCTTCTCCATTCTCCTCTCGGAATCTTGGGTACACACGCACATGTGCCGTGCTCACGTGAGTTTAAGCCACTGGGTCCGGGACTTGAACCACTGTCGGCTATGTGGGAGTCCAGCCACAAAGCCATTACGGCAACTGCTGGTCCCTGTTTCTTTTTTCTTTTTTAAGAAAGATATTTTTTTTTTTTCTATAGGGTGCATGTATTTGCCAGAGAGACTGAAAGCAAGAAATCACCCCTCACCCCTGGGGGGATGGCCACACCACAGTCCCTTCTCTTCTATTCTCCTCTCAGGATTTTGGGCATACATGCACGCACATGCTCCTAACGTGAGTTTCAAACGACTGGGTCCAGGACTTGAGCCATGGTCAGCCATAGGAGTCCAGTGATGTAACACTTACACCAACATACTGGTCCCTCAGTGCTCTTTTTTTATTTTGATAATCTTGTGTGTTAGGTAGGGTAGAGGCATTTATAAATGAAAATACTGAGACTCAGATTGGTGAATGACTTACTCAGGGTAACTTAGCAAGAAAGTGGCAAAAATGGACTTTCAGTCATCAAGGCAGTGCTTCTGTTTCAGACATATGTTGCTTCCAAGACCATAGACACACTTCTGATGTGTTTGCTTTCTTTCCAAATTTGTGCTTGGGGGCAGGAAATTGATCATATTGTTGAACAGCAATGGAAGGACAGTTAGAAGTAACGGCAGGAATCAAGGCAGAGTCCAGGGGTACGTTTGGTAAATGGTACAGAATAATGAGCTGTCTTATTTGATCTAGCACTGGACACAGTAAAGGGATGACTGGAGTGAGACTGGAGAGATGGCCAGTGGTCAGATCATGGAGGAGTTCTTTCCTCCCATGGTTACTTCATTTCTCTGGTCTTTGCCTAATTCTTCTGCAGGGGTCTTGGGGCCACCACCACACTTTTTTTGAAAATGCTCTGCTCAGTCAAGCTCTTTGGCCCAATTACTGACATCATTCAGCTAAGACAAGAGTTGCATTTTTCTGTAGGTATTTTACTGGAAAACAAAGCAAAGCCCAAACCAGAAACTGCAGACTTAAAGAACTTATTGGTTATTCTAAAAATGATTGATTGCCAAAGGGCTTTATTTACATACTTTGTTAACTTTACTTTGTGGTAGGGGTACTGAGAACTTTTGGAGCTTCAGGATGGACATGACAAAAAGTATCGATTTTATTGGAAGATTGGTGAAGTGGTGTTGGGTTGGGGATTTAGTACTTTAACTGGTGAGGAATTAAACATTTTTTTATTTGATAATTCTTGTTATTAAAAAATGTTTATAACAAGAATTATCAAATAGAAATCAAAATTCATATACATTTTTAAAGATGAAATAAGATCTCTCTACAGTTAAATTTTGGAGTAGGATTTGAGAGCGATAGAGGGTACCCTGAGAGCCCTAAAGAAAAGAGAACATTGGGAACCAGCAGTTAGCGTAATGGCTATGTCGCTGGACTCCCACGTAGTCG